GCTGAATGCCTTAGGACACATATCTGCTATAAATTCATTTTTTATCTAATTTGTCTGAGATCTAAGCTTCCTGTGGAGGTCCGAGATCAAAGGAGCTGATTCCTTCTGATGTTGGCAGTGACATATAATGTGTGCTGACTTAGTTCTGTCTATAACCTCACAGTGGGAGGTGGCCAACCTCCCTGGGCACCTTTATACAGTGAACTTTCATTTCAGCTGAGGAATCTGTCAGGTATGTTGCTGATTGCAGCTGCCATGTAAATAATTCATGGGAGATTTTTAAAAATGGTTTGGGGTCTGCGAAAGGAAGAGAGACTTGCATTAGTCTTTTATGAATAGATGAAGACTTGAAGAACAAGGCGGGACAGATTTCCAAGGATAGTCTCTCAAACACAGGCTAAGAACATCTTCAATGGGTTAAGAATAGGTGACTTGTAGCATTTCGTTCCTCATTTATGTAGTGGTATTGGTTTTATCAAAGGATTAAATTTATTATTTAATTTATTATTTCTGTTCTTTGAGTATTTTCTGATCCACATAAACTATGCCTTTTCCTCCTGGTGAGAGCAGTAATGTAGATATGACATCAAGCCTGGATGCATGGTCCACAGGGGGCCATACTCATTGGAAAAGATGGTGACACAACAGAGTTCTTTCTTCCAAGGCACTCAGTCCGAAGAGGAAGAGGAAACTGCCACACAAGGAAAGGTGGCAGCTGCAGAGGCAGCTGCAGAGTTCAAGGAGAAACTCCAGTCGGCATGCATTGATACATAAACCAATGTACCGGAGATTTCAAGAAACACTTCTAGAAAGAGTTGCAGATCCCACAGGAAAACTAGAATAACCAGAAAGTTCCTTTAGCACCAACAAGAGACTCATTCTATATTTAGGTAGTGCTCACAGATAAATCTCAGACAGGAAGATTATGCAAAGGGAAGAGGAGGTACGAACCGTGTGCGTTTTAAAAACCTATTTTATTTATTATTTTTATTTTATGTGTATGACTGTCTTGTCTGTATGTGTGATAGTGCACCCATGTTCAATGCCTACAGAGATCATAAAGAGGTCAGATCCCCTGGAACTGGAGTTATGGATGGTTGTTATCTGCATGTGGGTGCTGGGAACCAAACTCAGGTCCTCTGTAAGAGCAGCCAGTGCTCTTAACCACTAAGATATTTCACCTTCACAGTCCTAGAATAGTGTGTGCTTATCCAAATATTAGTCCAAATGCTGTGGAAATAGTGAGCAATATGGTATCTTCATCTCATTTTGCTACTTTGAATAAAATGTGTCTTAACATCTTTACCACAAGTTTCTATCCACTATTAGATTAAATAGGACTGGGAAATAGGCACTTTGTATCCATTTCCTATAATATGATAAAGACATGAAGACTGTCTCCTAACACAAACCAAGGTGACTCTCAGTGAACTGGGAGAGTACAATACACAGGTTGTCTTCATCTCATTTTGCTACTTTGAATAAAATGTGTCTTAACATCCTTACCACAAGTTTCTATCCACTATTAGATTAAATAGGACTGGGAAATAGGTACTTTGTGTCCATTTCCTATAATATGATAAAGACATGAAGACTGTCTCCTAACACAAACCAAGGTGACTCTCAGTGAACTGGGAGAGTACAATACACAGGTTAATAAATTGGCATCTACACAGAGTAGTGGATTCAGTGGTGAAATGCAAACAAATAGGCATGGTAAACGCAGAGGTTCTTACTACCTACTCCTAAGGATTCATGATGGATCTAAACTGGTTTTATTGACCATAATAAGGCATATAAAAGATGACCTTTTGTGTGCATGGCATACTTCCATACGCTCAAGAATACTATAAAATGATACAGTTGGGGTCAGGAGCTGCTAGGTGGTAGGTTGAAGATGACACAGCCAGCTATCAGAAGAGGATAATGAATGCTAATTTTATACTCAAGTCCAACCTTCCTTCTTCTATCATGGCACATGCTTCTCGATCCTCTGAGGTTGTCTTAAACTTCACATGGTATTTGCTGTGCAAACTCTGCAGTCAAATACCTGAATTCCTTATGTAAGTTTTGCTACTGCTTTATTTATGGTCTTGGAGAGTTACTTAATCTGTGCCTTAACTCTCTTACATCTAAGCAGTGATAATTACAGTGCATATGTCACAGGGTTGCTATAAGGACTAAATTATATGTAAAACTAGTGTGGAATGTGTAATTATTATTATAATTGCAATATAAGTGCTAGTTTAGACCATTAAAGTAAATCTGGGAGTAGGGGGAACGGTACTCCAAAGACAGCCACTTAAAGTCTATCATATTTTTACTGTTTCTTTGCTTATAAAATGTGTTTGTATGATGTTTCTGTATAATCAGGGCACTCTAGAGGAACAGAACTCATAGAATGAACACAGATTTAGGCAGGAATCTATTTCATTGACTTAAGCGATATGGACTGAGTAGTCCAACAATAGGTGTCTTCAAACTGAAGAGGCTGAACTGGTAGCTGCTCAGTTCATAGGGCTAGATGCATCAGCAATTTCAACCTGGTACCAAAGGGCTGTGGAATTCCTGGAGAGCTACACATTTTCAGTCCATGATGGCAGACTGAGGAAGCCGGTTTCTGATGTTTATGAAGGGTAGGGACAGCAGCAATAGCAACAGAAAAGATGCACTCACCAGCCAGGAGTGAAGGCAGGCAGGCAACTGAGAACTCTTTATATATGGGCTGCTACTGGAAGGTTCTGACCCTGGAGGGTCAATCTTCCCCTAACAGTTAATCCTTCCAGGAAATACCATCACAGAACAGCCCTGAGGCTTGCCTCTTAGTTGATTCTAGATCCAATCAAGTTGACATCCAAGATTAACCATCACACTTTCTGTTTGTGACACAATTATAACTAAAGTTCTATAATTTATGGTACATTTGTTAAGGTGAATCATAGATATATACAAAAAGATTCGTGTGGAATCATATTCAATAATTTTCTGGTTATGGTTAATACATGGTGTTTGAAACAGCCTGTTTGAATCCCACATACACTTTTAAAATCTTTTTATCTAGGGCAACTAATATAAACCTCTGTACCTTTATTTGATGTCTTCATTAAGACAGAGGCTCATTAGGTTTCTCAGGCTGATCTTGAAATTCTGAGCTCAGTGGAGTCTTCAGTGTCAATTTCTCGAATGCCTACAGCGTGTGACATCATGTCTAACTCTCCTTTTATTTGTCCATCTGTAACATGAGGAGAATAATAGCACCAACTTTTTGTGGTGGCTATTGGGATGAAATTAATAAGCAAATTTCTAAGTATTGAAATCAGTACTTGACAGGGATACATAGTATTTAAGCATCACAATTTGAATAATGACATTGACTATTAAGGCACTAGTCATTATAATGATAGTGTTTACCTTACTGCCAATTTGGGCAGTGCTCTGTATCCTTTATCTTATTTAACCTTCAACAATACTATTAAGTAGATGCTATCATTATAATTGCTTTGTAGATGAAGAAACTGAATCACAGTGAGATTAAATACAAATTACACACTTATGCAGCAAGTTCAGAACCATGCAGGAAATCTAACTACATCTATTTGATTCTAAACTTATACAACTGTCAGCTGAGCTATATATCCTCTGGGGAACCATATATTTAATAATATGTGGTCCACATATTTAATAATATACACAAGTATTCTTCTAAGTTTGAGGACTGTGTCCCTAAAATTCACTCCTAGGTCATCATCATTTAATGTTCTACTAATAGGAGAGGTTAGAGAATTCATTTAAATGTATCATTATCATACAATGAAATACATGTGATTTGTATTAGTTACTTTTCTGTTGCTATGATAGAATACTCTAATAAGTAGTTTAAGAGAGAAAAGATTTGTTTTGATTTACAGTACCGGGGCATACAACCTATCACAGCGGGAAAGGCAGGGCAGCAGGAGCAGGAGGCTGATTGGCCACGTTGCATCCTCAGTCAAGAAACAATGGCTGTTGGTGCTCAGTCAACTTTCTGCTTTGTATGTGGTCCAGGACTCAACCTGTGGAAATGGAGCCACTCATGATTAGACTGCATCTTTCCACCTCAATTAGCCTAATGAAGATAATCTTTCACAGGCATGCCCAGATGTTAAACTAATCTAGATAATCCCTGTGGGTGCATCTGGAGGATTATATTGTACATGCTGAAACCTGTCAAATTGAAAATCAATATTAATTATCACCCCCTTCAAAAAATTGGGAAAATTCAGACAGAAATTTCATGATCATCCATTAAATAATATTTTACTGTTCTGATTGATTTTTAAATTCTCTTTAAATGGAAAATAAAATACAAATGGAATGCCAAGGGGTGAAACTATTAAAACAAGATTACTAAAATGAATCATATTTTAATAAATTAAGTAGCCCCTCTGAATAATGTAAAATTACACAACTGAAACCATGAGATTCTAAGTGATGGGATGAAGTCACACAGCCAGCTAGTGGAAGGAGCTAGAACCCTGATTTTATGAATCAAGCCCAATGTACCTGCTATTCTCCCACTAGTATACACATTTATATTCATATTTTACCAAACCAAGTGTATCCAAATTTAAATATAGCATGAGTCAAAATATTAAATAAGATTAGTTTTTTTTTCTAATTCAATTTCCTTAATACAGGTGTGAATTGGCTTGAGGGTTAGCCCTAGTTATGATCTAGTTTTCAAATTTAACCCTTGTGCTTACAATTATAAACCTTTATTAACATCAGAATATTTTCTGAGACGTGACAGTGAATTTTTATTAGTATTAATTACTTATTGAATACAAGAAATAGTATTGTTAAGAAAATATTTCTAAATACATTTGGAAATTGGTGAATAGATAATATTCAATTTTTCATTCATTGACTATACTATTACAAAGGCTAAATTAAATACATAATATGTGTAATCATATGATGTAAAACTCAGTCCATTTCTTTCCTTCTGTTTCTTTTTACAGATATAAGAATGAAGGCCAGGCAAGGCAGGCTGAACCAGCTCCCCCAGCTACCAATGAATGGAGTGTCCAGAAGGAAGGTTACCCGCCAAGCTGTCCCAGAGGAAAAGGCTGCTATCCATGCCCCCAGGATTCCCAGAGTCACATCGCAGGGGCTCACCTGTGCCCCAGGATCTCCTGCTCAGCAGCCCACCCTGCAGGAGACTGGGAACTGGAAGGAGGCCCAAGAGCAGTTGCTCAGATACCAGCTGGCAGGCCAGGAGCAGCTGCTCCTGTTATGCCCAGACCTCAGGCAAGCTAGGCAGCAGTGGCAGGAGCCCAGCCAGCTGAATAAGGGAAGAGGCTGCTTGAGGCTTTCCCAAGAGAAGGGCTCATGTGCTGCCACTGAGACCTTCTGCCTCCACTCAGCACCACCAGAAACCATTTAGTAACAGCTGTGAGCTGGGGATGGTGTGGGCATTTGTGCTAAAAAGCAGAAATGTTCAGAAACATTTCTAGATGGTAAACAGGAAGTGAGGCCTTATCTATTTGGACAGCTCAGGAAAACTGTGGACTCTATTCCACTTTTCAACTTGCATATGAAGACACACAAATGCTTTCAGATTGAAACTGTTCCTGATTATGTCTTTTGTATTTATTACTGATCCTACCCCAATGCCAAGCAAATAACAGGTTCCCAAACACTTGTGGACCATTTACTGGGTTCATACCTGTTCCAATTTAACCAATTTAATAATTGTGCTATATGAATTAGACAAGTAGGTTGTTAAGCTTCTCTTAGGCTGCATTTGCACCTACATTGCCATAGTAACATTCCTTTACTTTTCAGGAACATGGGAAAAATTAGTAGATATCCTGCTCTCTGATACACAAAAGCTTACCTTCCAACCACAGAGAACTTCTTATTTCATGATTTAAATTCAGTCAGTATTGGTAGCTTTCTCTAGTATTATAATAATAATATTTTATATTTATACATGAAAGCTGATAGTTACACAGGCATTGTAGACATTTTAGTTAAGAATGAAGATATGAAAATAGTAAATTTAGGGAAGGAAATTGTCTGTGGAACATAGTTATATTTTACAACATTTCTTTCTTTTAGTAGTTAGGTCATATTTACAACTGTAGGAAAACTGTACTAAGAAACTAAACATAACCAGAATGTGAAGTATATTATCTGATTACTCCTTTCTTAGGGAACCAATTTTTCTCCCATAAAAGTGGGGAAAGGTATAAGGTAAGTGTAAGATCTGCTCAAGAAAAGAGGAGAGAGAACATCATGTGTGTCCTCTCTAGGCGGTACTAGGCATTCTGGAGACAAAAGCAAAGATGAGCTGGTGTTGATGCTTTGAGAAAGGATATAAAAGCTATTTCACCACATTCACACTTGTACAGAGTTCATTTCTATTTAAACTAAAAAAGTACTTTAAGCACATTGACTGTGTCCTTGGTGTAGTATCCAGAAGGCCTCATGATCTGAGACTAAAGCAAAGGCAGAAAAAGTGAAAAGATCTAGAAAGTCATTTTCCCATAATGTAAGCACGATTTCCTAACCTCTGAATGGCTAAGGGGCTATGCTGTATACAGTTGGAACACTGGGAAGAAACACTGTGTCCTATTTTGCTAACTCTTAAATAGTGAAGGCTTGGAAATAGAATCTGGTCTGGGCATCAAGCCATCATCAATAGGAAAGTATGTCCCATCATATCAGGAGGTGGCTGGATCCATGTCAGCCTGTTCTCCTATTATTAAAGTGTCTCTTAAACCTCTGATTTTCTAAGGCTACCCTGTGAGAAGGTGGGGTGGTCAGCCTTCTCTGTGGCTCTAAATTGAATTCTGAGGGAAACAAAAGGAAATTTGGAAGCTGGCACTCTCCAGAACAAGTGGATTCAGTCTGTATGTATGTGGGGGAAGGGGACAGGAAAGGCAATCTGGACTATAAAAATTTACCCTCCAGGTATAAGCTACCCTCCTCAGAGTAAATATTTTTTATAGATGTATTTTTGTAGACAGCAGAAGTATTTGTGAAACAAAACAACTACAAAATGATCCCATAAAAACTACTACTGAATGACTTCTTTAATTATTCCTGGCAATAGCTATTTTTTCTTATGTCTTGGTCTATGAAACCATTTGCTATTGAAAACTTTAGTGAAGGCATTGGACATTCAAAAGCTCTAATTTTCTTGACCAAAACCATTTCAGTAAGTTACGAGTTTTGAGTAGGGTAACATTGCACTACCTGTCAAATGCTACATAATCCCATTTTTACTAAAGTGATTTCCTTCACACTTGACCTTTCAGTCTAGACTTTTCTGAGCTCTCTACACTCTATACCTACATAGTGAGAACTTTAAGTACATTATTTCACAGCCACTATGACGTCTATGCAGATCTAAAACCTGATCCAACTTACGCTTTTTCTCTTTCAGTGAATGACATCGTTGCACTGAAATCAGAAATCTAGACATCAGTCACGACACTTTGTTGTCGCCCTTCTAGTCAACTACCATAACTCTTATTTCTACTGCTCTTTCTGGTCATTACCATCTCAGTCCCACCCCATGTGTCAGAGGCTATGTTTTATGTAGGGAAAGTTTAGAGCTAGTTCTCTTTCTCCTTCATAAAAAGATGGGAAAATGGAGCAAATACTGGGAGCAAAGAAAGCAGCTTTTGGTACATTCATGCCTAAAGCCTACTACATAGAGCCTCACTACAGGCTAAACCCTGAACCTACACCATGAATGAGGGTATTTCTTAGCTACCCCCTTTATCCAAACAAGCAATAGAAAATCATCTTTTTCCTAAGGCATTTCAAAGAATCTCTTTTTGTTGTACATTTATAATATTCTGTAAGAGAGAGACTTGTTCCTCCAATGAGATTACAGAATCTAAAACTGTGGGGAGTAAACAATCTTTGAGAATACATTTTAAGTTGTGCTCACCACAAGAGAATGACAAATAGGTAAGGTGACGCAAATGTTACTTAGCTTCAGTGAGCCATTCCATAGTGGATACATATTTCAAAACACATTATACATGATAAATATTTGCATTTTTTACTTGCCAAATAAATATAAAATGTTCATAAATATTTGTGCATGGTAAGATGGAGACAGAAGGTTATGTAGTTTGGACCATCTATTTGTGCTTTTTAATTGTGTCAGGGAGGTACAACCTTTGACAAACGTCATTCCTAAAAGAGAGACTGCCAATTAGATCGAAGTGAGTCTTGCCATGTTATCACCCAGTGAGGCCACCTAAAACAAATTTCTTTCAGGGACCCTCCCTTTCTAAGATTATTCAGCTGAATGATTCCCTTCTATTTAGTAATGGAAGGCCAAATATATGAGATTGATATACATCTTGCACCCAAACTATATGCAAAATTGAGAATGGTAAATAATATAAACCACATGCAATTAGTCAACTATGTTTCTAACATACTGTATATGTCAATGAAATTAAAGAATTTTAATTAATTCTGTCACTTTTAAATACATGCATTTATTTCATTGTTTGGATACCAAATTTAAAATGGTTTCAACATCAATTTTGGAAAAGCAATGTGCAGAAGGAGCTAGGCATTTGAATGGAAAACACTTTATTTTAACCTGCATTGTAGCACTGAAGGAATTAGGCATTTGAATAGAAAACACTTTATTTTAACCTACATTGTAGCACTGTGACCAATTACAGGCATATTTGGGAGACAATATTTCTAGAATGTAAATTTTAAAATATATGGAATATTTTCTACCCCCTCTTCTGCAATGATCCATGAGCCGGCGGAGAAGATAGATTTATATGTATCCAATTTAGGTAGAGTACTCTGAGGTCCCTTATTTTCTGCATATTGATTGTTTGTGAGTGGGTCTCTGTGTAATCACCAACTACTACAAGAAGAAGCTGCTCTGGTGAGAGCTGATGGATATACTAATACATGGACACAGCAATAAACCATTGTGAGTCAATTTAATATTATGTCTATTTAGCAGAATGACGGTACTAGGTTCTCTCTTATGACCTGTGATAGGACTTTAAAAAATAAAAAGCAATAAATAAATAAATAAACCAGATAATAATGAAGGATATGAATTTGAGTGGAGGGGGTAGTAGGGAGCAACTGGAGAGGGAAGGGTTCTGAATGTGATCAAAATACATTGTATGGAATTCTAAAACCAACAAAATTACATAAAAAATAAATAATTAAATATTTTTTATGAAGTTAAATGAGACAAATGGTAGAAAGCAAAGATTTTAGTGTTTACACATATATTTTTCCACCCTTGTTATCACTAAGGTTTAATATAAGTTACTGAAAAAAATTAAGAATTGCTTTGTTTTGAGCAATTCAAGAAGTGTATAGATTCTTCTAATCATGGCAGCCTGTTGTATGAGAAAGGATCCTTTTATTACATATTAGGACCTTCTGAGGTTATATCATCTCTTATGTGGTCGCAAAAGTTCTCATTATTATCACCCTGCATTTTATTTCAAAATTAGTAGCTATTACAAGAAGGCAGAATCCATTTACTTTTAGAAAATATAGGAAACTCTCCTCTCCATTCCATAGATGAAAAATAAACAGTTACCAAGTCTTTGTTGCGATAAAAGTCAATTCCAAAACTCCAAATCTAATGATATATCTATCTACTATAATACAATGTCCAATGTAGAATTTTATTTGATTTATATAATACTAATATATAAACATCAAATTACAATGCAATTTGTATAGCACACTTCTATCTATTGTTCATTTCTGCATAGACAGATTGTGGCGAAATGGCCAAGAAAATTCTGTAAATAATAATTATTTCTGGAAAAAGAAATTGGTAGTGTGGGCTAAACTGGGCTTTAAATTTTATACATTTTTTATTTTAGAAATACCCATTAAGCTTAATTTAAACATGATCTTTCAGTTATGATTGAGTGGAGGGTGGCAGTTCTTTTCAGATCTCAGAGATAGGAAAATACTCTTACTCCTTGAAGGAGCACTAAGATACTTAGAAAGGAGTAGGACAGTCTGTAGAGAATGAAAATGAATGGATGAGAAATTCAAGGAAGAATGACAGGAAAAGTATGAAACATCTGTAGATGTGGGAAAGTAGTAAGAGTGTAGCCAGATCTGCCTTTCCAGACAGTGTTCCTGGCATGTTAGACAGGCTATGTCATCAATTCCTTTCTGCGTCAACTCTCTTTAAGAAACAAATCTATGTGGATATGGCTTTAGCATCTCTAAATAAAATTCTGAGAAGTTCTGAGGAGTTCCAGAAAGGAAAAAATTGCTACCTCATTAACGCACCAGGTATTCTGCCCGTCTATTTAGCATAACTCAAGGTGACCCTGCCTTCCTAGGGGTGGTCCTATCACCAGGTGATTGACCAGTGAGATTGGAAAGGTGGGTCCTCCAACAGATGGACTAGGGATTTTGTGTAGATCTCTGTAAATCTGTCCACTTTCTGGCATTTGGGTCTATTCTTCAATTTTTTTAATGAATGAGACTAAGAACCCTCTAGGGGACTCTCTTTCTCCCTGTTTCAGTACAGGCCAAAACTATGGACATATGGTGTCAACTTTAATAAGACAAAATGACCTACAGTAACAGTATGTGATGGTGCTTTGCAGACAATGATAGACTAGCTCCATCCTTTGAAATATTCTGGAAAAAATTCATTTTGTACCCTTTGTATGTTCAGAATGTAGCATTATCAGAAACCTTCAAAAATAAAATAAAATAATAAAAAAAGAAAAAAATTTGGTTTCTAATAGACAACCAAGGACTACAGTAATAGCCTATCTTGCTTTGGTAATTCCTTGGACTACCATGATCAAAAATTTTAAAGATTTTTCTTTCCTTGGCACTGGGATTTTTGTCATCTAACCTTCTACACACACACATGCACATACACAATATGTGTATTTTTAAAGAAAACATGTTTTCCCATGATGTTTTTAGACATCCTTAGTATTACTTACCTCTCTTTTGACCCTCTGCCCTGTATTACCCTCCCTCTCCCCTCCCTAGTTAAAGTCCACCCTCCTTTTATCCCATCTCATCCCTTGACATCTGTCCTACTATCCTCATCTCTACAGCTCCTTTTTCCTTCCACCTTTCATGGCCCCTTTCTACTTTCCTGGCTTCTGCAGTTACCTCAGGTTATATACTCACATCTAAAGAGTCAGAACTATGATCCAAAAGTAAGAGAGATGTGCAACATTTGTTTATCTGAGTCTGGTCATCAGTGTGTTTTCTAGTTGCATCCATTTGCTTGCAGGTTTCACGATTTCATTTTCCTTTACAGCAGAATAGAAAAATTCATTGTGGATATGTACCATAATTTCATTAGTCATTCATTAGAGGAATATTTAGGTTGTTTTCACTTCCTAGCTATTGTAAAGAGATTGGCAGTGACAATAGTTGAGCAAGTCTCTCTGTACTAGTAAGAAACTATCGCCAAAGATATCACACAGTTTAGACATAGGACTTAGAGAAATTGAACTGGAACTGACCTGGAAACTTCCTCCTTAAAGACTAGGCTCATATCAGATGATGCTATGCAAGCTGTCAAGGGAAAAAAACTAATCAATTGTCCTACCTAGCTTCCAAGCCTACAAACTACAGCAATTAACACTGGTTCAGCAAAATAACACTATTGGTGCAGTTAGAGGTATGTTTATCTCTAGGTTAACCAATATCTGGCTAATTGGACTAAGGCCCATTTAGTAGGAGGGAATTAGTGCCTGCTACTGTAAATTTTGCCAAATACCCATGACTGGAGAGGGTAATAGACCCTAGAGGAGAATCTACTACTGCTGCTTTTCTAAACCAACATAATTCCTTGCTATTT